GAGGTAGAGCTGTGGGAACTGCTGTCGAAAGGGTCGTAAGACCTCAGCTACAAAATATTGGCACATTGTAGGACTATTAGTCATCCCTTGAGGTAGGACGGTCCATTCATACCGTTGGTAAGGTTCCCTAAAGTTTGTGGAAGGCAAGGAAAAAGCGAAATGCTTTCAGTCTCGTGGGTCTAAGGGGATAGAGAAGAAACAATCTTTTAAATCTATGACAATAAGATGCCAATCCTTTGGGATCGCAGTAGGAAAGGGTAGCCCTGGCTGTAAGGGTCCCATGGGTTGCATAGTTTTATTAATAGCCCGTAGGTCCTGAAGAAGCCTCCACTTCCCAGACCCCTTTTGTATAACAAAAATAGGGGTATTCCAAGGGGAGGTAGAGGGCACCACATGTCCTAACTCAAGCTGGTCTTGAACTAATAGGGAAGCGGCCTGTAATTTGTCCTTAGTTAGGGGCCACTGTTTTACCCACACAGGGTCATCTGATAACCAAGTAATGGACAGTGGAGGTGGCCGCACTTCAGTGGCCCCTAGGATAAATTTCCCAGTCCTCTCCGGTCTCTTCCCCGCCGGGTAACCTGTTCTGCTGGATCCACGGGTGATATTCTGCCCTTAAGTCTCTTTCCTAGTCCCCTTCCAGGGATCCACCCCATGTCTAGCATTGAATCATTAACAAAGTTATTATTTTCTTTTAAAGTCTGGGTAGTAAGAATAGCCCCCATTTGATGAAGCAAGTCCCTCCCCCAAAGATTCGTGGGGAGTCCAGTCACCACATAAGGCTGGAAATGGCCACTATGTCCTTCGCCATCTCTCCATTTTAAAAAGGAGGCACTTCTTTTTGGTCGGGTCTGTCCTATCCCCTGTAATATGGCCGAGGGACTCTGGAGGGGCCAGGCAGGTGGCCATTGTTTTTCAGAAATGACAGAGACATCCGCCCCCGTATCTAGTATTCCCTTGAAAGCCTTGTCCTGTATCTCAATGGTCAGGTTGGGACGCGAATCCAAATGAGCTACCCAAAAGGCCTGGGGAGTTCTAGTGAAGCCAAAGCTGCCATCGCCCTGGGACCCACGGAGGGCGTGCCCAGAAATGGAAGCTAAAGGTAGCAGCAGCAATTGAGCTATACGCTCCCCAGGGGGAAGAATAACAATTCCTTGGGTAGCTTCTACTACTATTTTTATTTCTCCCTGATAATAAGCATCAACAACCCCCATAAGAATCTTCAAGCCCCACTGAGTTGCGCTACCTCGTCCCAACACTAGTCCCACCGTCCTCTCTGGCAGGGGTCCAAAAACCCCAGTAGGCAGCGTCTGAGGTCCCATTTGGGGAGTTAATACCGCTCGGGAGGTGGAACTGAGGTCCAGTCCTGCGCTTCCTGGTGTTCCCCTGGGGAGTTCCCAGATAGAAAGGGGTTGGTCAGTGGGAGGCGGCGGAGACGCCCACTCCCTGGGGCACTGTTCTGTCCCTGCACTGCCCCGTACACTTTGGCTTCCGGGGCCCGGGGCGGGCCCCTGCTCCCGTTTCCCGACGGTATTGGGTTACCCTGGATGTCAAATTTTGACCTGCACTCACTGCTCCAATGATTTCCTTTATGACATCTAGGACAAATTCTAGGCATCCCTCTGCCAGCACCCTCGCTCCTTTCCGGGCAGTTTCTCCTTATATGTCCCTCTTTTCCACACTTAAAACACCCCTTAGAGCTGGTTCCCCTGTTATCAGATTTTTGCATTCCAGTCTTAAGGGCAGCAGCCAAAACCTGACCAGTAATATGAGGCTCATCTATATCTTTGCATGCTCGAATCATGTCATCTATACTTTTGGCCCAGGAGGACTTAATAGCATTTTGGCAGTAAGTGTTAGCGTTTTCATATGCCAGTTGTCTAATAAGTGGCATAGCCTGTTCTAGATTAGGGAATATCTTTCCAGCAGCCTGCATTAGGCGGGCTATAAAGTCCGAATAAGGTTCAGAGGGTCCTTGAGAGATCTTGGAAATTTTTGCTTCAGTCTTAGAAACGGGCAGGGCTTTCCAGGCATGAACTGCAGCTGAGGCTATTTGAGCATAAACACCTGGGTCGTAATTAATTTGTTGGCCTATGGTGGCATACTGCCCAGTTCCTGTCAACATTTCAGCATTTCACCGTTGATGGCCCGCATTCAGGTTAATCTGAGCCAGCTCGCGGCACCTTTCATGATATTCACTTTTCCACAATAAGAAATCCCCTCCAGATAACACAGCCCTGCAAAGTTGCTGCCAATCATTAGGTATCAGTTGACTGGCTGAGAAAGACTCGAAGAGGGTCAATGTGAAAGGGGCATGAGGTCCATAATTAATGACCACCTCCTTAAGCTGTTTTATGTCCTTGAAGGCTAGGGGGACATGGGCTCTGGCCGGCTGTCCATCAGCATCGGCGTTTTCAATCATTGGAAAAACCTGAGCCGCTCTAGAACCCCAGTGGACCCCCGCCCATCTAGTAGGGGCATCCTCATTCCAATCAGGATTATAGGGAGGAGGTGCGGCAATTGAGGGGGCCCTAGGCACCCTCACATTTGCCCTTTTAAGGCGATGTTCTAATTCCTCTATCTCCCTTTCTAATCCCTCCTCTTCCTCAGAGAGAGAACTGAGGTCCTCAGGATCCTTTTTGGGCTTAGAAATCTGGAGGCGTTTCCTACCCTCCAAGCCCGAGTCCTCAAGGGGACCCTCATCCTTTAAGGATTTTGCCATTTGCTCCTCCTGCACCTGATTAAGGGCCTGTTCACATTCAGCAAGCTGATCCTTGATCTTTACTTTATCTGTTAATAAAGCATCCTTTACCAACCTCCATAAGGAAAAGGTGGCAACTGGGACACTATCCGAGCCCCGGTCCCTCAATAATTTCTGAAGGTCATGTCTCACCAGGTCCCAGTCACTATTATTAAGAAATCCTCCTGTCAGAAACCAAGGACAAGCCTGGGCAATAATTTCAACGAATTCGGTTGCAGTCTTAGTTTTTATTCCTGTTCCTTGTGTATTTAACAGCTCTTTCAGTTCGTTGGCCAGACGAACCTTCGCTGTTGAGTTACCCATGGTACGTACCCTGTCTCTTTAAAATATCTTTAAACCAATCCTCCCCCTTCTTTCTTAGAAGGTGAGCCCCGTCCGCTTACCCCTGCTTTCCGGATCTCGGTGGGAACCTCCAATTTCCGCGTCCGGCGAAGGGAGCCGAGTCCGGCGAGGGACGGCGAGGTTAAAAGACACACAGGACACCAAGGTTCTTCATCCAGGAGTCAATAATCTTTATTGCTAACACACCTTTTTTTATACCCCAAGCAGCAGAAGTGGAAAACTACCAAAAAGCAGGAGGGAGGGGGGAGAAATTTAGTTTCAACATCTATTATTGTCAGGTACCGAAACCTCCCTTAACAATAAGTCCATCAGACCAGAAAAGGTCAAGGCATTCCCGTGGGATACATATGTCTCAGACGGATAAGCAGGAACAGAAAAAACCGCAAGTTCGCCATGGCCTTGTGAGCTGGCCACACTGGCATGCAGAACAAACTAGTGGAGGTAGGGCTCCAGGGGCCAGGGTGGACCTGCTGCCAACACAAAACAGCGGGAACAAGACAGCACCCCAGCTTTCCTGCAGCCCAGCTTTATAGCCCAGAATGTTACACAAAGGGGGGTTACAGATAACAGAACTCTGAGGAGCATAACACTGATTGTAGTTTACATTTTTTGCTGGCCCCAACATCAGAATTTATGAGGACCATTAGAGCCTCAGAGAGGGTCATTGTCTGGCCAGGGAAGGCCAATATTTATGAGGTGTCACTAAAGTTTCAGAGGGGGCTGCTATCTGGTCAGAGAGCCAGGCATGGGTGAGTTCAAGGCACGGGAAGGCATTCCAAGCAGGTTCAGAATTTGCAGTAATTTATAGTAAAGCCGAAATTATCTTTTCATGGCTTTGTGGCAAGATGACTCTGCATTAAAAAATGACAAAATCATAGAATTTACAGGGAAATGGATGGCATTAGAGCAGATTATGCTAAGTGAAGCTAGCCAATCCCTAAAAAACAAATGCCAAATGTCTTCTTTGATATAAGGAAAGTAACTAAGAACAGAGTAGGGACGAAGAACAGGAGAAGAAGATTAACATTTAACAGGGATGAGAGGTGGGAGGGAAAGGGAGAGAGAAGGGAAATTGCACGGTAATGGAAGGAGACCCTCAGGGTTATACAGTGGAGGGGGTAGAGAGAGAGGAGGGGAGGGGAGGGGAGAGGTGGGGAGGGGGGAGGGTGGATGATGGGAAAGGCAGCGGAGCACAACAGACACTAGTATGGCAATTTGTAAATCAATGGATGTGTAACTGATGTGAATCTGCAATCTGTGTATGGGGTGAAGGTGGGAGTTCATAACCCACTTGAATCAAAGTGTGGAATATGATATGTCAAGAAATTTGTAATGTTTTGAACAACCCACAATAAAAAATTAAAAAGAAATTACAAAAAAAAAAAAAAAAAAAAAAAAAGATGGCTCCCAATTTTAAGAAAAGATCAGGTTGCGTCTATCACTTTCAACTCAAAAATTTTCCTCATGCTTTTCCTTTATACTCAACTCTTTTCCCAACCCTGAATTTCTAGCAACTGTTGATCACTTTTCCATTCCTATAGCTTTGTCTTTTCTAGAATGTCATATAAACAAAATCATTTAGTTAGAGCCTTTTATCTGGCTTCTTTTAGTTTACAATACATTTTGAGATTTATCCATGTCTTTGTGTGTGTCAATAGTTGTTGAATTTTTTTCCCACTGTTATTGCTAAATAGTGTTCCTCTATATGGATGATTTACAGTTTAGAAGAAGGACATTTGGTTTGTTTCCAATGTGTAGTGATTATGTGTAAAGCTGGTCTACATATCTGCATATAGGCTTTCATGTGAACATTAACTTTGTCTTTTTTGAGGATATGTGGGATTTCTGAGTCACATGGAATATTATCTTTACCTTTATAAGAAATTACCAGGGGACAGGCGGTGGAAGTGGTGGAGAGGAAAGTGGAAGGGGGAGAGCCAGGCGGAGTAAAGGTCTCTGCCGCCGAAGCCCCGCGTTGGGGCGTGACAGTAGTCCCGAAAGGCCTAGCCCCAGTCGGCTGGCAGCACGGGTGAGAGGGGGCTGCGAGAGAATGGTCAGCCAGGTAGGGACAGAGGAGCCAAGCGGAAGACCCGGGCTGGGGAGCGCGGCTTCATCCTGATGCCCTGACCCGAGGGCGGCTGCCTGGGGTGGGTACCAAGCCCAGCTCGAGTTTAGACCACTCGTCAAGTCTCGGGAGAGCGCGCAGCACCCGGGTTAGCGGTCAGAGCATGAGGGGCTGCATCTGGAGGGAATGACAGAACTGTGTGAACAGAAGAACCTGCGGGGCTGGAGAGCAAACCCAGACTTCATCTTTTTCTTCTGTAAGCTGTCACCATGACCCTGACAAAAGGTTCTTTCACCTACTCCAGTGGGGAGGAATATCGTGGAGAGTGGAAGGAGGGCCGCAGGCATGGTTTTGGTCAACTGCTGTTTGCAGATGGTGGGACCTATCTGGGTCATTTTGAGAATGGGCTCTTTAATGGCTTTGGGGTACTGACCTTTTCAGATGGTTCAAGGTATGAGGGGGAGTTTGCCCAGGGCAAGTTTAATGGCGTCGGAGTCTTCATTCGGCATGACAACATGACCTTTGAGGGGGAATTTAAAAATGGTAGAGTAGATGGTTTTGGCCTGCTGACTTTCCCTGATGGTTCTCATGGAATACCCCACAACGAAGGTCTATTTGAGAACAATAAGCTGCTGCGGAGGGAGAAGTGTTCTGCGGTAGTTCAGTGGGCCCAGAGTGCCTCCAAGTCCGCCAGAAATCTCACTGCTTGATGAGGCAGTGGGCACAGCTGGAATAGTGTCAGTAAAGCCCATGACCACCTGAGATGAACAGAATGAACCAGATTTCAGATGAGATGAGGATGACCACGGAGCCGAAGCCTGTGATGTGCCCCATCACCTGCCAATCAGCAATTTGATCACAGAAAGTGCTAAGGATTTTGGCCCAAAGACCCCTCAGTGGTTAGCAGTTCTGTCTTTTCTTGATGCTTATTTGCTGAAGACAGGAGCTGTGTTTTCTTACTTGTCGACATTTCCTGTTCCTGAGACCTGGGGTTACCCAGTACAGAGTGGCTGCAGCCTTCACTCCATTTACTGCCAAGTGATTCAGAATGTCCTCATTCTGCCTATGTTTGGGGCACATGACCCTAGCCCCCATAGGGCCAATGCTGTGTGCTGCCCTGGCAAAATGAGGTACAAGATAGACAGTACAGTGACCCTGTGAAAGTCGGGCCAGAACTTCTCTGTACATGAGCCCCTCATTCAGTGCAGTTTGAATCCTGACTCCAGGCTCCAACTTTGTCTGATCAGACTAGTCTTTGTGTCTGCTTATTTCCCCTGTGAAGGATCTGGTAAGAGTGTTGTTTTCTTCTTTCTTGACTTTACAAGTCATGTTCCTTACCTGAGTTAGGGCATATAATCCAATCTCCATTTGTGTCTCTCCGTTCTTAGAGTCTATCAGAGAGAATTCCTTTGTGGCATAGTCAAGAAAGAAACTGATGTAATAGTAACCTCATAAGTTGTATTCATTACTCACTCCAGGTCAAGGGGCAGACATATCCAGCCTCAAGGCCTTCCTGGGGAGTGGACTAAGTGCTGGGGAAGGCCTGCATCGACACAGTTCTTTCCCTGTAGGTGGTAGATCAGACTCACCTACACCCCTGGGTGTAGGTAGACTCACACCCACCCTGGGACTGTGGTGAACTAAAAGCATTGGCTGTTCCTCGCATTTGACTTGCTGTAACTCTCCCACCAAGAGCCTTGATCTTCAGGCCTTGGTCAGATTTTGGAAGGTGGAATCCCTATACAGTTCATCATGAGGCCTCCAGTTACCACAGGACCCAGACATACCCCCAGCTCCCATCCTCACACCGAATCTCCCTCAACAGCAGACTATGGTGGAAATTATAACCGTGTGCCTCTATTTATTCTGTGAACTGTATTGTAGAATCAAGTGTTCATAGAAATAAACAAATCACCAGATCTGCCTAAAAAAAAAAAAAAAAGAAATTATCAAACTGTTTCTGATTCCCAAAGTGACTGTATCATTGTATAATGTATGTTCTAGTCATTCTGCATCCTTCTAGCAACTGACTTTTTTTAGTCATTCTAATAAATGTGGATATTATTTCATTGTGGTTTTAATTTGAATCTCATTAATGACAAGGGATGTTGGGCAATATTTCATCTATTTATTTACCTTCTTTAATTAAGTTTATGTTCAGACCTTTTGCCCATGTTGTTATTGGATTGTGTACTTTGTCACTGATGAGTTTTTAAAGTTCTGTATGCATTCTGGAACCATGTATTTTGCCAGATACAGAACGGACAAATTTTGCCTGTCTGTGGCTTATCTTTTCATTTTCTTGACAGTGTATATTGCCCTCATAGGTCTCCTTTCAATCTGTGTGTGTATGCGTGCATGTGTGGTGGGTGGCAGTGGGGCCCATGGATAACTTAGGTCCTAAGTGTGAGTTTACAGTCTGTGTCTATGGTTTCTAGCAGCTCCACACAATCTCTTGACAGTTACTATTTCTGTTTACCATTTTTTAATAATTTCACTTGTATTATTTTTTAGATTTTGTGCAATTTGGTTGCCTATGACTGAAGCTCACTTACAGATATGAGAAAACTTGGAAACCTATAGTTTGTCCAGCCAGCTTTTTTTATTGTTTTAAGGGTGGAATAATGTTCTTTCTAGTTCTCTGTTTCCCAAGAAGCAGAAGTTTCTTGCTGTACTTTTACTGTAACTTTTCATTTCCCTGTGTTGGGAAAGTATGATTAAAACTGAAAATCACCTGGCCACCCAGAAAACTTCCCCACAAATTTAGAAGAGAAAGAAAAAAATATTATTAAATAAGTATTCAACTGGAATGTGATGTAACTCAAAGACAATCTATAGTAAATGCAAGGCAAGCAAGGAAGCTCACCCTTTCATAGAACCAATCAGATACAACCCATTATTCTCAAGATAAATGATATATAGTCTTCAAGTAAGATGATAATACCCTCTGACATATGTAATTCATCCTAAATACACTTGGTAATTGGAATAACCATTTGCATTTTCTAACTTTCTTTATCTAAAGGAAGTTTAAATTCTCCTATTTTTAGGAAGGGAGTTAAGTTTCCAACTTTGAACTTGGTTGAGCCACAGTTAGGCTCTGGAAACTTCCCATGAAAACTGGGGAGTAGGGGCACTGTATTTTTAATGTTTATATTTTAAAGAGATGACTCATAGTCCTTGAAAAAACATTCTTGAGTTAAAAACTGGCAATGGCTTATTTAGCATTTGAAAAGATATATTTTCATTTTCAAAGAGTCAGAGAAAGAACTTACCAGGACAAGTTTTCTATAGTAAATGTTCTAAGGGGAAGAGAGGGAAGCCTGTTTCCCTGTTTGAGTTTTGTATTTTCTCTTAGACCTATAAACATCCAGAGCACCTGGCCTACAAAAAAAGTTTACAGGATATATTTAAATGCTTTAGGTTACTTGAATTTCACAAGGATATTATATGATAAGCCAGAAAGTAATTATTTCTGTTGATCTGATTTAGTTGATGAGAGAATTAAGACTCAGAGAGCCAGTTGACTTGTCCAGTTACATACTTCTAAGAAAAGACTTCAAATCCATCTTCTCTGGTACCAGCTCCAGTCCTGACACTTTAGGCTGCCTTCTCAAAAGCATAAACTACATAATGATAATCCAGAGTTTATGTTTAAGAGAAAAGGACATACACATGTATACTTTGTAAATCACAACAAACTTTTAGGATACATAGGCTAGCCATATTAAATTCACTAGAATTGGTTCAATGGACAAATCATTTGGTTGAGAACAAGAGGACAACAGAATTTATATATATATAAAATCATTATGCATTGTCTAATCCAATTATTTCCTTCAACAATCATTTACTAAATGTCTGATCTATACCACACCACATTCTGGGGTCTGGGGAAGCAGTAGTAACCAAATTGATAAAATCCCTGCCCAAAGGAAGCTTACATTCTAAGTGGGAGGAAGAGAGAATAAGTTTTAAAAAGTACATAAAATGTCAGGTCTGTGATATAGGTTAGATAGTAGTTTAGCTATGAGCAGGTGAAGGGTAGTAACTTATAGAGAGAAAACCAGACCTAGCATCAAAGAAAGACCATAAGTCACAGGATTGGTAATCACGGGAAAACTTATCAAAGCAGACAGGCTTGTGGAAAATGGGAACCGATATAGCAAACCTCTCCCAGCCATAGTTATAACCCCTTAACGGAATTATTGTTTCAATGTAATGTCACACCCAGCCGTTGAGACCAGGTCATCTTGACCCTCACAAAGGAAATTTGCTGAAAAGGGTAATACACCACTTGAGGTAGGGGGGGGGGGATGTGAAACTAGGGCAAGATTAAAGAAACACAGAACCCTTAAAAAAACCCATTCTGTAAGAGCCGTGCTGTTCTCTCCAGTGACAGTCCATGCAGTGCCTATACTGTACTTGATCCTTATTCCTCGGTTTTCCAATAAACCCCTGTCTATACTCAGTGTGACTTGATGGAAATTCTCCCTGGGATATCACAGGAACTGAGGGCTTTAGACACCTCACCACCACCCCTGCTTGCCAGGCAGCCTTGCTCTGTGGGTAGATCTTCTCTGCAACAACATATACAATTTAGAATGACAAAGAAAGCTAAGGGGAACAAAATGTATAAATGTATAAATTTGGAGGATAGTGTTTGTATTGTTTCTGTTTTACAGCGGCCTGAAAGATGCTGAGAGCCACGGCCGAGTCTGTAGAAGCTAAGGGTGAGCTGGGATGGATCTGGCAAAGGAACTTATGAACAGAGGAAGATGAAAGTGTCTGAGACTGGTCTACGTATATTCAAGTAACAGCAAAGCAGATATATGACTGGAGTAGGTCATAGGGTCCAGTGTGTTAAGAATATTTTAAGTGAGACTGTTTTGTGTTTTGAAGAGGAGTAATTTGATTGTTTTCACAAGTTTACTCTGGCTAGATATAGTGGGGCCAGGGAAGGAGCAAAGAGACCAGGAAACAATTCATCTAAATTTATGGTACCAAATAGGAGGAAATTTCCCTGCTTTGCTTTATTGTTATAGCTTTAAAATTCACTTTTTCTCAAAATGGTTTTGATGTTTTACAGGAGGTACAGTTAATTAGATTTATGACACTATGTGAATAGAACATATTGACTTTGACACAGCCGAAAGGCATTTGCTTAGGAAATATTTCGTTGACATTTCTTGTAGAAAATAACTTCCCATTTGCCTAGATAGGCCGAGACCATGACAGAATGAGTCAGTAAGAACTCTCAGAGCTGTGTTTTCAAATAAGAATTTACTTGATTGCTCATCACATATACAATATGCAGGGTAAAGAATAGTTTGTATATTTAAATTAATCTTGTAATAACATTTGGGATTATGATTATGGAGAGATGTACTGAAGTAAATAAATTCCAATCTGCTTAAGAATTGATAAAACCTGACTTGTTTGTCAGTTTCTCGGATATTACTGAATATGTATTGATCCACTAACAAACAGTTGCAAAATATCTTCCACAAACTTAGTAATGTTTTTCTGCATTGTGTCTTTATTTTATCAAATGACAAAGTAATACAGGATACTTCAACTTTAGGATAGTCATCAAATTCCTTTCTATGTTCCATAAAAATCTATCCAAAGGTCTTTTTAATCTTGATATAATTTTACTGAGATCTGATGTGTGATTTCTCTGGTCTTTCCACTTTATTAAGTTTGAAATGACTAACTGCAAGCTTTGGAAGAAAATCAATATTTAAAAATGTTTTCCCTTTTTTTAATGTTAGAATGAAACAGAAGTAAGTGTAGAGGTGTCTTTGGCTACCTTTAAAATTCTCATTGTTCTCATAGCATTCCATGTTTGCTGCATCCTTAATTGAAGAACTATCACAGGCACTCACAATCATAGATCTTACTACACTCATGCAATTTAATGTACTTCTTATGTGGTACTTGTTTCTTAAGAAAAAAAATTGTTCTTTATTGTACATCTTATTTTCACATTAATGGGTACTTGATAGGGAGCATCTTTTTTTTTTTTCCTCGCAGCTTTTATTGACTCCTCCTCTTTGGATGTCTCATCATTACTATTATTTTAAAGAATATAGATCCATGGCCAGACGCGGTGGTGCCTACACCTGTAATCCCAGCGGCTTGGGAGACAGAGACAGGATGATTGCTAGCTCAAAGCTAGCCTCAGAAATGTGAGGTGCTAAGCAACTCAGTGAGACCCTGTCTCCAAATAAAATATAAAATAGGGCTGGGGATGTGGCTCAGTGGTCAAGTGCCCCTGAGTTCAATCCCCCAATCCCCCAAAATAAGTCTAATCCCATTAAAAGCCATCTATGTTTATGCTTTTCTTTGATCTAACAGCTAGGTATTTTTCTTTCTCATTTAAATATACAATGAGAATATTGTATTCATTACCATAGTTTCTTCATTACCATAGTTCCTAATATCAAAGAAACTTAAGTCATTATTTC